CCATCTGAAAGTTGCTGTGAAGCATTTTACCCATGATCCTCTGTTTCCCTGACAAGTGAATGCACCCTAAGGATGTGTTTTTGAGCCTGAGGTCCAAACAGCATTCCTCATGTTTAGGAAAACATGTTAACTGATGTTTAAAAAATAAAAGTGAGCAGTCAGCTCCCCTGGCCTTTCTCGTCTGGCCCAGATGCCCATATGAAAGCTGACTTTTGTGTGCTGGACAACTCTCATACAAGGTGGATGGTTGGTGTTTTTCCTGGCATGTCTTGAATAAACACAGACCAATTACACTGGGCTGCCTGGTGTGTGAGCCCATGATCTACAGCTTTATTTTGTATTATTTGAGAAGGGTAAAGAAGTAAATCTGTACTTCACAGAACAAGAGAGACAGAGACATACAATAATAGTTTTTGCAGTTCCTCTGGGTTAGCATAAATCCCAGGCCCAATCAGATATCTAGTGTCTAAGACAAGCACCACGTCCCACGCTAGCTAACTGCCACATGGTCTGAGCAAGTTGCAGTGGCAGAACAGCTTTGATCAACTTTGAAAACTGGTCTGAAATATTCCAAACTCACTCATGCAACTTTCTTAACTCCTCTGAATATATATGCAATAACGTGTGGCTTCTTTCCCACTCAAACCGTGGAATTGCATTATTCATCTGAGGCAGTGTTTCAACTTTCTCTCATTCTCTGCCCACAGAGCTCCCACCCACACCAGTGAATTAAGCACCCATCTTCTAATTTAGTCCCAATATTCTTCCCCATCATTCTCCATAAGCTGAGCTTGGTTAGTGTGCATGTGCTCTGTGAATATTGTGCATGAGGAAGTATAAAAAACTGTTTTACCTTAGGATCACACCAGAGGGTTTATGGAAGATTATAACTATCTGATGTATAATGGTGTATTATATTTAATGTTAGGAGAAATATTCAGATCCATTACTTAAGTAAAGGTAGCAGTACCACACTGCAGAAATCTGTGCAAGTAAAAGCTTTGCACCCCTGAGAGTTTTATATTTGTTATTATTTTGGACAATTATTCCCTGTGCATTTTGTGTAGGCCCATTTTATTGTTGTAGTAGGTGAAGCTAGAGCGTAAACTGTTTTTCAAATCATTGTTGTTTTAAATGTATTTATTGCAATGCCCCATATGTAATGAGCATAACATGTTTTTGTGAGTAAAATCAAAATTTCTAAAAGAATTAATTGCTAAAGTAAATGTCATGATGTTCAATATTCCCCCTGCAATGAAACTGAGAAGAAACCTAAAGTAGCTTGAACTGGAAATAATCCAGTATAGTACACGTATTTCATTGAAGTACAGACTAAACACACTTAGTTGCATTCCAGCACAAACCGATTAGACAGATATGCAGCCAATTTGGCCTTTTATACAATATAATAACTACAATTTAAAATAGGTTTTGTGCTTACTATTGATTTGTTTTCTACAGATAAATAATAATAATAGATAAACAAATAAAGACAGTTAAATATATATTACAGTTTTGTTTTTCTCAAACAGTTTTGGCATCTGTTTTGGTGAAGAGGTGAATTATTCCACTGGTTAAATGGAGTTTCAGACCAATTATTCTTTTTCTGCCACAAAAATGAGCAACAGTAAAGATGGTGAATAGCAGAGGACAAACTTAATTCTGTTGACATCAGCTTTTAGAACACTGATCTGCTAAACCTTAATGTGTGTGTGTGTGTGTGTGTGTGTCTGTGTGTCTGTTTTAGTTTTCACGTGCATGTACCATATAGAGTATAGACACCTGTTTTAGTGTGACATTTTATAACCTTATTCCAGTTACAGTATGTTACAGTTTGACATGTCTGGAGCGGTAGCACACAGAGCCTGTGCTCATCTACAGCAGACAGTAGTGAACTGTACGCAGTGGGTTAGTTTCATGTCGGGTAACCTACTGATTATTTTCTCTATTAATCGGTTCATTATTTGGTCAATGAAACATTAGAAAAGCTTGTTACAATTTGCTTAAGCTCAAAGTGATGCCATCAATTGTTTTGTTACCAACAGTTCTGTGGGCACTCGTGCAATGCTGTGTACACACATATGGGCAAATGAGTGACTCTGTCAGGAAGTGTGTGCACGTGCAGTTCTGTGAATATGATGACAGTGGCATGTGTGCCTGTGTGTGTGTGGAGATGGGAGTCCAGAGCACCTCAGTGGAAACTTGGCCATGAGCCGATCATTCCCCACGAGGGCTGGTACACACACTGTCAGGGATTTCACTCTAGCACACAAGTGCTAAACACAATGTAAACTCCATTCAGCTGTATGCTACGTTTTTCCCTTTAGTTCCTTAGGCTTTCAAATCTGAATAGCACTGCATTTTATGTATAATCCATCAATCTGTCCATCTGTTCCTCTTATCCTGTAGAGTACTGCAAGGGGACTGGGGTCAATCCCAGCTAACACTGGGCAAGAGGCAGGGGACACCCTGGATAGGTCACCAGTCTGTCACAGGGCTGACACACAGAAACTGACAACCACACACACTGTTTTGTGTATAAGGTATAGAATAATTAAATTACTGTAAAGGTAGTCTAACATCCACTTTTTGCATCCCAGTACACTAACTGTCAAAGTGGGATCAACCAGATAGCTGCTCTTAATGTATATGTTTGTATTTATTTGAAGCTGTTTACAACAAGATTTTCCTGAAGTATCATTTTCTTACTGGACATGAGCAGACTTTGAATTCTTTCAGGGTGAAGTGGTTTAATGGTAAACAACTGTGTAAGAAACCAACCTTTGGACATTCACACTTCTTGAGTATACATCAGTCGGCCACAGCCCCAGAGGCCAGCACCGGTCTGAACGAGGTCACATCAGATGACTGCCCTCCTCCCCATGCAACATCCAAACCAGATGTCTGATGAATTGCTCCTCATAAAAGATTCCTTTTTTTTACAATGGACTGTGTTATTGCCAAATAGGGTAGGACAGTTACGTGTGCATTCCCAGGTCGTTAAAATTCTTACGGGTAATTCAGAATGGCCTCTAGATTTGTTTGTATAGACAGCCAACAGAAAATTTCACAATAATTTAGTCATGATTTGTTGTGTGTAGTGTCTCCTGGGAACTGAAGTGATTCATCTTCATCTGCACCAAAGTACATCTAGGAAGTTGTGCTTTTCTTAGGGGAAAGATGCAGGTTAAAATGAGTATCACTGACAGTTTTCAGAAAAATAAGGCCAGCTGTTGGCTTTTACTTTTGATAGCACAGGGGTTGTTACAAATATACTGTACCACATCTGGCATAGCTGTAGTTTTTCTCATTTTATAGTGAACTTTCTGCCTCATATATTGCATTACCTCACATAGATATAGTTATATTGGACAAGTGCCTCTGAAATGTGAAACAGGGCCAACAATGAGTGCACTGCCAGAGCCTACAACTAAATGATTGTTTGTACTGTATATCCATGTTTTCTGGCCAACTTCAACTCCTCTCTCTCTTATCTTCAGTTTGTGAAAAGGGAATGTTTCTGTTCCTGTCGCCTGTGAAATAAACCACTGAGATGAAGTAGTATTGTTTCAGCTCTCCCAAAGAGAGGTTACCTATGAGCTCCGATACGATGAAAAAACAGATGTTGTCAGAGATGGCTGCACTCACTTAGAGCCAGCAACTGTCCTGTGTTATACATTACACTGAAAGGGCTGTCTGGTACTCAGTGTGCATGTGCTGAGAGGTGATGGACAGGACCTGGCCTCCTCGTGCTCCTATTGCTCCCTGTTAGCGCTTCTTCTCCTCCCCGGCTTCGTGCTAATCACAACTGACAAGGAATACACAGGACTCTGTCTTCACCAGTGGATAGAAAGTGTCGTGCTGACCTATCTCAGTCTGCAGGAAGGAGCACAGGTAGAGAGATTATTGAGGGGAATAAAAAAAGAACATCAGCATCACATACATGAATTCTGATAAATATACTGTCTTTCTATTTAAAAGGTTGCAAGATTTCTGTAAATAAATGAAGGACATAGGGCTGCAAAAACAAGAGCATGGCATGACAGAGTGTTCTAAAAGACAATGCTCTGTCTGCATTTACAGTAGATGCTGTGAAAAGACCAGATGTTGAACAGCTTTAGCGTTTAATGTGCAGTTTAAAAGTTTGTGTGTGTGAGAGAGAGAGTTAGAGCTAATAAAGAGACAGACTATGTGCAGTTTGTTCATCAGCTTCTATGAATGTGCATCAGCAAACATGAGAGATTACATGTGCTTGCTTAGCTATAGATGTCTGTATAATTGCATAATGGTGCTTATTGTATATCAACATTATGTGAGGTGATAGGCTCTTGTATGGACATCTGAGGGAACACACATATCCTGTGAACTTGTTCTTATGCACATGGAAGATCTGCGTGCTGAAATGCGGATAGAGACCTTCCACTGTGATGCAATACATCAGTGACACTTAAAGTGGGATGAATATTTCAGTGACCTTGTGGAGCGGGGACATTAGGAGTCAAGCTCGACAGCAACTATTCTGGGAAATTCACTGCAAAATAGATTGCATGAGGTGGTGCCATTTTCTTCGTCAGCATCTAGAAACCTCTCCCCAGTTAAAAATGTATTAATGTGAAGGCCGTTCAAAGCCCACAGTTCTGCAAAACTGTTACAACAAAACCACAAATAAAAAAGCACCCACTGCAATAAAGCATGGCCTGAAACGTTTGTTCCTATTTTATTTATTCTATCCAGATAGGAACTAGGAAAATATAGGTCAGTCCCATTGTACACAGCAACAGGCCTGGCTACAGTTTAAATAGAAAGCATACGATTAAATATATTTTTATAATATAATAAGGGGTAAAATGTTTAAAGAGAAGAAAAATCTAAACATATGTTATATCTACATTGGTGAGGACAACGCCTGCTGGGCTGGCTGAGGAAGGATTTGGGGGCTTCTCATCTGCTGCAATATTTCTCTCCCTGTGAGGATTCGGAACTCGGGGGTGTGAATGAGCTGAGACTCACGGCTGCTTGGAGAGTTTTTGACAAACACTTCGGATTTGTCTCTCAAAACCCCCCGCGATAACCTGAGGGACACGACACCCACTCACACCGCTTAAATTCATCAGCAACGTTTATCCTAGAAAGTAACGGGAGCTTCTATCATTTCATGAAAGACCGGGACGTGGCCAAACAATGGACACAGCGCAGTCTATCGCTGAATATTCACGGAACGGGACTGAGTAGCCACAAGGAGAAGACAATAACAGAAGTCAGAGAAACGGCGCGCCACAAAGGAGGGCAAAGCAGGACGCGTGTTTGCAGAGAAGCAGTGCCATAGCTGTGTATAACATCTGAGTTACTTTGTTATTCTGGCTCCTTTCATGCTGTTTCGGCCAGCGGTTTCTCAACTCGCACCTGAAAAAAAACAAAACAAAGCAAAAATGCGTTCAGTGGCAGAACATCTCCATGCGTAAATGGAGACTCTTTGCGTATTGCTCGCACCTTTTTTTATGCGTCCAATGAATTGTGCTTGTTTTGTCACTAACTCGCGCCCAGTCCCATGACCGCACTGGTATAGATGCATTATAGACTTCCTCATACTTCATATCTGCCATGAGTGATGGCGTTGTCTGCAGAATCTGACTGTATAGGTGCGCAGAGCAGCACTTATAAAAAGAGCTTAAGCGCATCGGATCGCAACGGTTATGTGAAAACATGTGTTATCCCACTGTGCAGTGACCGAGTTTGTGAGTCGTGGATACGGCTAATGTTCCTAAAAATATGGAGTTCCCAGAGACTCCGAAGTGCGGTGTGCGTGGGGTCGCTTTCGGTTTTTCTCGCTCTGTTGGTCAAATGTGCAGACTGGAAAACTGAAGCCAGCCGCGGCGGTGACAGCAGACCCTCGCATTCATCGCCTTCCCCTCACTTCGTTACAGGCTGCGCGGCGGAGCTGTTGCAAACTTGCTGGAGCGTGGTTTCGCCATTGTTCACCCTCCTGTGTGCCTTCTTTTGGGTCGGTGTGTACTTAGTCCGCTGTGGGGTTCTAATCCAGAATGCCCTCTCCCTCCTAACCTTGTGCCACCTAGGCGAAGCAGCGGCGTGGTCTCTCCTGGACGGGACAGATGAGCAACTGTTTTCATCCAGAACAGCGGCCGCGGTCGTGCTGGTCTGCGTGGCCACCAGTGTACTTATTGTAGCACGGCTCAATCAGGGCATATCTGTGATCGTTTTCATCAGCATAGTCAGGACTATTTCACTCATCTCGCTGCATAAAGTACGGGCCAACTGGAGACCGTACGTAGCGTACCTAGTCGGAGTTCTGGGCATCCTGCTGGCGAGGTATGCTGATAAGCTCCTTCCCAACCAGGGGAGACACAAGGAGGGCTGCACCCCCGTGACTGGAGCCAGGAAAGAGATCCCTGTATTTAAAAGGCGCAGGAGGTCCAGTTCTGTGATACCCTCAGACATGGCACACAGTCACTCCAACAGTAAGTCACATCGCCGGACCTCTTTGCCATGCATCCAGAGGGACCAGGTAAGAAGTTTCTGTCCCATTCAACTTTTCTATTTCTGCCTTGTTTTCTTCTTCGAGTTTTCTGTTTGAGGTCAAGATAAGAAAGGAGAGAGCAGTGAGGACTGTTGGTCTGTTATGACACAGGTTATAATATTCAGTATTATTTTATTAATGCTGTTGTTGCTGTTAGGCAGAGAGGTTCTGATTATTCCTGGAAGTGATGTGATTATATTGTTTATGTTCCTATTTTACATTGTACTGTGGATATTACAGTGCAATGTGCAGAAATCATCTTGGGACTGGTGTCTTGTTGTTTTCTGTGGAGCCATTTGCAGCCATTGGAAGGCAAACATGCAGTCATATGAATTTACAATATTTTTCTACTTTACCTTCCTGTAAGTTTGTTTATATAATGTAATTGTATAATGTAATTCAATTAAGAGATGACATATGACATTATGTTCTACTAAAAGGATCCGTTAAGACAAATTGTTCACATTTTCCTCTGTCCTATCCTGTCAGAGCAAGGTGATGCTTTACATTCATGTAGACACCGTGTATAACTGCACTTTTCTGTCATTTGAAAATAACAAACCAAATTTAGTATTTTGGTGCTATTTTAGAGACAGTGCTTTCAAGGGCTGGTGAGAAAGGGAAGCTGAGGACATGATGTCTGATTCATCTCATCCCTAATTATTTATATCAAACATTTTCCCCAGATGATCTGTGAACCACTGCCACAACACTGACTAATGCGTTTTTCCTCTTTTCTGCCCTGAACTTTAAAGCCATGCACTTGCTTTTTGTCACTTATTGAGGCTTGCTGTCTTTAAATCCCAGGGATGTAGCAGCTTTGTTTCTTAAACCTATTTCATTGCTGATACTCATGCAT